GAGTCAAAGCTAAAAGTACTATTTGATCCACAGAATAAGTTATAGTGGGACGATAAATAAAATTCCCAAATAAATATCTATGAGTCTATACTAGCATAGATAAGCTATTAGTTACACAAATAGTTACACAAATGCATGGAGAATATCGACAACTTTTCCTTGAGAATTATTTTAGTCAACTTATGGAAATATTGTGTTCTCAGGAAAGTTCTTTCCACCCTAAGTATGGCCTGAATGTCATGATTTCTCCCAAAGAGTACAGAATCAAATGGTGGCCAAAGAGCTAATTTTTCAGTGGAACAACAATCATTAACTCATACAGCAATGAAGGCCAGCATCCAGAGTAATCCATCATACTGATTCCCTTGATAATAGAAAAACAAGAACACTTTACCTTTGAAATTTTCTTGCCAAAATTCTAGCTTAATCACAAGAAAAATGTTACTTAAATCCCGAAGGAGGAACATTTTGCAAAGCACCTGTGTATAGTTTTCAAAAATTGTCAAAGACATTGGGAAAAATAGTCTCTCGTAGGAAAATCAAAACATGATAACCAAGTACAAGATAATATTCTGGATGATATTCTGGAGCAGAAATAAAAGCACAGTAAGGAAAAGCTATGGAAACCTGAATAAAATATTAGATTTGATTAATAACAATACACGTTAATAAGATACAACAGTATTTTGTTAATTGTGTGTGACATGAAATGTTCACATGGGGTAACTGTTGAGTATATGGAAACTCTGTATTAGCTTTAAAACTTCTGAAAATATAAAACTATTCTTAAATATAAAGTATATTATTTTTAGCAATTTATTCCTGAAAATGTCTGTAGTATAAAAGGAAAAAGGTAAGACTTAAGAGTTACATATCTGATATTTAACTTGCTAAAAATGAAAGTATATACATATTAGAAAGTATTCCCACAGGAGCACAACAAAAATTTGATAGCAGCTGTGTTTGTGACTGTGGTGATTATTCCTCTGCATTTATCTGTGCACCCGTTTTACTTAATGCTGTGTATTGGTTTCATAATAAAAAGCAAAGCAAAGCAACAGAAAATGTTTTATGGAACACAGAACTAAGAGGTACATTTGTTCTGGAAGAAGTCAGACCAAACACCTGTAGGTGTCCCTTTGATAAAGCATTTTTAAGGGAACACACACACTAGGCATCATCCAAATAAAATGAAAAGGAGAATAAAATCAAAGCCAAGTCAAACTTGCAGAGAAGGCCTATTTATGATAGCTATAACACAGTTTTTCATTTTTTTGTGATAGAGTATTCAGATTTACATATGAATTTTATATGAAAATGCATTTTACATTGTAAATTGTATCTTTGGTGTGTTAAAACTTATCCTGGGAGCTACATTTAATGGTAGTTGCTATAGTTTTCTGAAATAAAAATACTTTACTTTTATATTGTATTTATGTACAATTTTAAGTAAATATTATGGTTTACTTTGCATCTATGCAGATGTACAAATAAAGCTAAGGAATATGAGCATGCATTGTAAAATAAACCACGTTTACTTAAAATTGTATATAAATAAAATGGAAAAATATGATTTTTAAGATACTTTTCACTGCAACTGAAAACAGTTTTCAAACTTAGTAGCCAAGATACTGATAGTCTTCTGATTGTTTCAATATTTCTGATATTAGCATGATAAAATTACCTGTTAGAAATGATACAGAAAGCACACATGAGGAGAAATTTTGGAAGTGTAAGATTCTTTATAATAGAAGTTCATTATAAGTTATAAAGATTCTCATCATATGCTACATCAAATTTTTTATATTTTAGTTAAATGCCTATGTAAATATGTGAGTGAATGCCTCCACCACTGTACATTGAATAAAAAAATAAAATTAAATAAAAACTTGACAGAAATAATCCAAGGCACCTCAGTGATTACCAGTGAACTCAAGTGCATTTGTCTGCTGAGAAATAATTGTTGATTAAGTTACATGTCAGGTCATGTATGGAATCATATTTAAATTCAGGGTTGAGTGGAAACCACCAAATCCATCTTTATTAGTTTTCATATCTTTTCACCAATTGAGTATCTATGTTCTCTCATTTCACTTTCACACAGAAGGTTTTAGAAGGTCATGTGTGTTTTTAAATTAATCTGTGATTATCACCATTAAAACCACTTCGACATAATTATTCTAAATTTGTTATTTTTCCTGGCCAAATTCATTTTATGACCCAGTGTATTGCCTTAAAAATGCAGCAATGCGCACTGTCCTTGCTGCAATCAACAAGACTCTTGGTGTGCTCGTTTTAATCAAAGATGCCACAAATTGGATATCAAGAACGAAAATGGATCATTTTCATTATAAAGCTAGCATCAACACTGATTAGATTGTGTACACAAATCTACATCTCAAAGCACAGAAATGTGTATCATAAAATTCGACAGGAACTGGCTGACCTTTCAGTATGTTTTCAGCAGTCTAACTTTGACCTTTCCACATTACACTCCTGAAATGTGCCACATGCCACTGATTGCCAACTAAGAGCATGTAATGAAAGTAGCTGCTGGATGGCTACAGACTGTGTCCCCAGCCAGGAGTGACAATCTCCTAGAGGTGCTGGAAGCTGTAAAGGAAACAATTCTGTTTACTTGTAGGAAGCGAGACCTCTTGCTGGAAGAAACTAATCAATTCTTTCGCTTGATAGAAATTTTAATTGAAGACAACATCCAGAGGTGAAAATGCTGTTCAACCAGCTGCTTCTCTTGCCATTCTGTCATATTAATTGGGATTGTCCTAATATTTTCATTGTTGAGTTCACTTGAGAGAATCACTAAATTGCATTAAAGCTGCTTAAGCATGAATTCTGTAAGGCAATCTTTTTAAATTTGAGCAATATGTAGCAACCGTGTACCTGATATATGAGAAGGATAATTTCACAATTCTCTAACAATGCAATATACCATATGCCAATGAGGTGTAAATATGCACATCATACTCATATCAATAACGTGGGTAATTTGTTTTGAAACAAATATTTGCTCTGAAGATGTGTAATAGAATATTTATTAGTGATTTTCTGTTGTTTTCTTGTCTCCCATGAGAAAGGGGATGGTGTTTTTATTTCTTTTGTGCATGCTCAACTGTATAATTAACAACATGTATTACCAGTAATAAACAGTTGCAATTGCACTAAAAAAGCAAGATTGGGGGAAAACACTTCTATACTCTGTGTGTTACACTATTTCGTCAATCCATTAGACACTATTTCAAGATATTTAAGCTGTCTCATGGAATTGTCTCCTACTGGGTTTCTATATGCCTAAACTTACTGAAAGAGAATGAGAGAATGTTCCTTCTGTTGCCAAGGGTCCAGCAAGTAGTGTGATGTACTCTCTTGTTTCCCTTGTATTCACACACTCAAGAGAGAAACTTGGGAGTCATGGGAGAGTCACCTTGTGTTTTTATTACAAAGTCCTGAATTACTTATCTCTGAAGTATTTCAAACCTGCCTTGCGTATCCTCTGTTCCAATTCAAAGCAGTGTTGTTCCACATACAGGTTACACCATCTTCCTCTCCATTTGCTCTACCTAGATTCACTCTGTCATGAAGCAACCTAGCTGAAATTTACATTTGCAATGTAGCGTTATTCTGAAAATCCACAGTTATCAATATAGTGCCCATGTGTATGATTTAAGTGCCATTTTTGATCATCATAATTGGATAAGAACTCAATAAATATTTACTAATGAATCTTTTCTATAGCTCATATTGCTTACATGCAGTTTACATTGATGGTGTGGCAAAAATGTTATATCTTCTGGGATACCTTTAAATATCTCGTTCTGATTTCATCTTTTTCTTCTACTTTTTAAATTTTCCTGCATAATAACAGTTCATTTGAGATTATTTTTAGCATACACTGAAACACTGGAATATTATACGCCAAACTTTTCATACTAACTGTTTTTAGATGAGACATTTTAGGAATAGTTGTAATTATTTTATAATTTTCTGAATTTCCTAAAGTTCCACAATCATGACTCATTTTAAGTTATAAAATATACTTGATATTAATTTTTTAAAAAATAAATGATCCTCATGTCTGTGTCAATTGTTTTATGAGACACTTTGTAAACTTGGTTTCTCCCTTCATTTAAGTTTTGTGATGATTTAAGCATAAAACATCCCCCCAAATTCCCATGTGTTTGGAAAGTGATTGGATGAGCTGCCCTGTATTCCTCAGCAGATTGGCCCACTGATAGGTTCAGTAACTGAGTGTGTTTTTAGGATCAAGGGCCTGAATAGAGATGGGTCACGGGAGAGGACTTGGATAGGTGCACTTTTCCCTGCTCCTCTCTCTCCGCTTACTGATGTCATGGCCCCCTACACAACCTTCCACCAGGCATTTCTACCTTGCAGCCTGCCATCTTTCGACTGAAGTTTCTGGAAACTGAGTCAAATAAACACACCTCCTTTAAACTGTGGGTGTCTATTGTTGTGTCTTGCCAGTGGGAAACTGACTGGAATAACTTTTTATTTGTGTTTTTCTGTAGGCTCCCTGACAATGCTCGTTCAAAGGTTGATATAGAATAGGGTATTTTTATTTTTTGTGGCAGACCACTTGGGCCCTTTTGATGTTTACAATCTAACTTGATTTGCCTCGTTTTCTGTCTCACATTAAACGTTTATGTAATAGTGGAATTCTTTATTACTTAAGTGAGGGTTCTATTTAAATGCAAAGCCATTGTATAAAATCCCATGATTTGTTCTGTTATCTTTAAACATGTAGACACACAATTGATTTAGTGGTGATATTTATTCATTGCAGTTCTACCAAAATAAAATAGTTACTAAAATGGTAAGAGGAGCATAGTCTTTGTTCTTTGCATTTTTACAACTGTCAGTCTGTGTACAAGCTGTAGAAAGAGGTAAATTCAAGTGCTGTTTGAACTTGAAGTGTTAAAGATAGGCATAGCATGAGTCTTTAGCCTTGAGGGATTTGCAGTCTTTTATAGACAAATTTATTCAAAGAATATTTAGAAGGAAATGCCATACATGCATGGAATACAATTCTGTATTTTCAGCACAGATTATATGAATCAAGAGCACATATAGACATAGAAATCACAGAAAAAAAAAAGAGAAAAGAAAGTGACAGCGTTTTTTTTTTTTTTTTTTTTTTTTTTTTTTTTTTTTTTTTTTTTTTTAGGAGACAAGACAAATTTAATGCTCAAGGTTATTTAGACTTTACTTGGTTAGAGAGGAAGCAGGCTAGACAGCAATCTGGGGCAGTTAACACAACCATAATTTTACCAAAGTCTATTGATTCTTTTATAGTACTCACATTCTTTCTGTTGCTTTAATAATGAATTATCTCTGACTATTATAAATATTGTGAATTCTTGCTATCACATGGATAAAATATCTAAATATTTTTTGCTTGCCTGGGGGTTTAGCTTAGTGGCACAAACACCTGCCAACTTCAAAAATGCAAGGTTGCATTATATAATACATATTATATGTATATATGTATGTATACATATATAAATATATTATATATGCATATATGTATATATATATCCAACAGTTTCAAAGTTTTTACTTATTCTTTCTCTCATCTTATTAATTTCAAAAAATAAACGTTTGCCTTTCACATTGTACATTTATGAGTTGCTTGTTTTTCCTCCAGAAATGCAAAACTCTTGCCATTTTTTTGCACGTTGTTTGTCCTTCCAATGGAAAAGAGCTCTACTGCTATTTTCATGATGTTGACAGTGACATTTTCCAGGCATTTGAGTCCATATCTGGATTTGACAAAGAAAAAGATGTAAAGCAATACATTAATTCAAGTTGCTTTAAAAGTGGAAAGGGCATCGCTAATAAATCCCAGACATATTTGCTGCTGAATCTTAAGTTAGGCTGCAGACAAGCTTACCCCGGTGTGAACTATCTTTTGGACTGGCCTGACTCACATTGCATTGAAGCATTGTTCCCTAACCTGTGCTGAAGTTCTGCAAAATGGACCCTTTTCATCAAACCACCCAGAGAGTGAAACTGCCCTTTCATGTAAGTTAAGTTAATGTTAGCTAGCACTACACACAATTCCTGCTTAACAAGTGATATATTTTGCAGCACTTTGGAGATTTACAGCTATAAATACATCTGCTGTTTTGTAAAACTTTAAAGCATATCTTCAAGACTGCTTGAATCTGCTTCCCCTGGACATGAATTTAATTAATTTAACCTTTATAAATTATGCTCATCTAAAGTCTAGTGTGCTCCAAAATTGAGCACCCTGGGTCACACTGAATGATCATCATGTCACCATCAGGACAGATTTGTGCAGATCTTTAAATAAATATAATTTTATAAATATATATAAATATAATTTTATAATTTAAGTAAACATAAATAGATCTTTAAATAAATATAATTTTCTTTGTTTTCAAATAAGTCGATTTTATTTTCAGTCCATAGTCTTATCTCCTCTACTAAGATTTTGTGTCTTTACTTCTTTACATAATTTTTATTTCTTTACATAATTCTACATATGTAGCATAAGCAACCATGAAAGACTTCATGTTTGGATTTCTCCTTAAATCTAAGCCTATTTTTAAATCACTATATGGATTTCTTATTGTACCTCTGCTATTAAATGTTGGATAATAATTTCTCACTTGGGTTTTTTAAACTTATTTAATTATATTCCTGAAGAATAAGGATAAATAAACTGTACATTGTTGCATATCAGAAAATTATTTCTACAACTATTCCTAAGTGTGATAACTCATAATATATATATATATATATATATATATATATATATATATATTGCTTCTTGCTTGAATTTTAATTTTTTGCTTTGGGTAACCGTTATTCCTTGTACCTAGATGCCCCTCTCCCGAAAGTCTCAGGAGCTTATAGGTGGGGTTTTTCAGAGGTATCTGGATCTTGAGTATGTGATAGTAGGATTAAGGGTGTGTGATAACTAAATCGGCTGATTGGAATTAGCATAGTTCTGGGCATGGCTGAAAGGATGTGCTGAATGCAGAAGCCCAACCCTGAATGTGGGTGGCACCACCCAAAAAGTTTATAACCCACATGGAATAAAAGAGAAAGACAGGTTTGTGGCTGCTACTTGCTTTGCTGGGTGCTTCCTCCCTGCCCTGCCATGGACTATTTCTGCTCTGAGATATTTCTCTGCCATTCCACCCTGCCTTGGAACCAACTGACTACAGATGGAAACCTCTACAAACTGTGAGGCAAAATAAATTTTTTCTCCTTTAACTTTGGGTGTTGGGTATTTTGTCTCAGCAGTGATAAAAGTAACTAAGACGTTAACTAAGAAGAAGTTAGACAATTTTTTAAGAATTTTTTTTCACTCTGCTTCTGGTTAGCACTTTTGTGCTTGATATTCTTCTAGTTGGAGTATGAACCAGAAGTAGAATAATTTAGGAAGGAACGTATAGGACCTTAGACACAAGTAAAGGAGCTAAAAGTTCTACTGACAAAGTGTGACAGGGACTGAAAAGTTGACTCTTTTCTAATCCATTTTTTGTCACTTGGGCCAGTTGTTTTCTGGACGAAGAAAGGGTGAAACAAGACACAAAGCCTGGCAAGCATAGATCTGTTCTGATGGTGACATGCAAATCATTCAGTGTGACCCAGGATGCTTAATTTTGAAGCAGTTTAGATTTTAGATGAGCATAATTTATAAAGGTTAAAAATAATTAAACAGAAAAAACTTTCTTCCTTCATATCTCTTGGATGAAATTAGAGAAAATGAAATTCATATATGTTTTGTCCTTTCTCTTTCCCCATTGTCTGGCATATTCACAAAGTGCTGATCATCTGCATCTCCAAACAACCTCACAAAACTCTCCACTGCCCCAAATCTCTGCCCATGCATCACATCCACCTTCTGCTCTTTCTGTGTAGGTTGGTTTAATATACCTTTGCTGAGAACGTTCTCCTCCTCCTCCTCCAGATCTTAGCAGTCTTTTCCTCTGATCACTGATTTTGCTTCTCCCCCCAAAACTGTCATGACTTTTGGACAAGACCATATCTGTCTCTTGAAAATGAGATAGCATAAAAAATAAGGATAAAAAAAAAGCAGACGAAGAAACAAAAACTGTAGTTTAAGGACACAACTGTTGTCTGAGGTTACAATGCTTTATGTTTTTCAGAAACCCTCCCCACAAAATTTTCCCAAGTATTGTATGGATAAAATAATCTTTAAATTTAGGCCCATGCTTTTTTACCTGTGAAATGCTCTGCCCTCAAGGAAGCAGCACTATTAAGTTGGCATCATGTCTCTAAACTTCAAACACATGCAAATTGTTTTCATTCTAACTTAGCCCAACAAATTGGTAGACTGATAGAGAGTAGTAACTCACATCTTAGATTCATGCATCCCAAAGATATCTCTAAAATCACATAAAACCCTAAAATACCAACCGATAAGATCTCTTATTTTATGAATAACCACATTCCCCTCTGAGTGTGTACCTCTTTATGCCCAGTAAACCTTCCCATGGCTCTCACAGACTCATCCTGCAATGCTTTTCTGACTCAATCAGGGAACCTATAATCTACCTCGTGAATGGGGTGAGTGGTGGCTCTTGTCTCCTCTTTATCTGACTTTCTCTGACCTCATTTGGAGACAAGAGTGTGCTGGTGATGGGTTGGAAGGAATTGATGATGAGATTGGAAGTGCCTGGTATCCCTTTTTTCACTTGTGGGAGGGAATGTACTGTGCAATCATGTTAGTATGTTGTATGACATCATTGTAGGAGAGCAAGAGAAGTGATGGAATATCCCAAAGGCCTTGCAAACTGTGTAGATGGAAAAATGAAGCAATAGCAGGACAGAAGAAGCATACTGACATTCACTGTCCCTGGTAGATTCACTGTTGTGTAGTGACATTTGAGACTGCAGCTCTATATCAAGTGGATTGTTCATGGAGTTTATGAGTGAAATACTGAAATAAACCTGAAATGATACCAGTTTGCATATTCATAACTAAGTCCTTACATCATTGTTGAAGTATAAAATAGTTATTTTTTCTCTAATAGCTAGTAGTCTTGAGTAGACTTTTAAAAACAGAAAAATATCTCTGGGCAGGGGATGAGGAGACAATAGGTCACAAACCCTAGCACGAACATCTCTTGGCCATACTTTAGTACACATTTGTTAAATCAGTCCTTAAAAGAGCACCAGTTTGAAGAATCTCTAAATTACCTTCCTGTCTGGGGTACTTATTATATTACTGTCTATATCTTTTTGAAACTTTATCTTAATTCCAAAAAAAAAAAAAATGAAGTAATTTTGGCTCAGGGAAGAAGGACGCAGTCACTTAAAGGAGAGGTGATTGCATAGCTTAGCAGCGACATTTGTAGTTTAATTGACAGAAGCTAAATGTGTAGAAATATGATTAAGTAAAAGGGATATTAAGTGAAGAGACACTATATTATTATTTTAAAAATAAAACTGAAAACATGATAATAAAAAGCTATTTGGCAAGACATTTTTAGAATTGCACATTTTGGAATTTTTAAGATGAAGTAATGGATTGATTACTGCTTTCTGCCCCAGTTTTTCTTACAAGGAAAGTGAAAATGAAATCTAACGTTATTTATCTATTTGTGCTTTTGTAAAATGTTCTTTATAAACAGTTACATTTGATTTATTTTTAATTTCATCTGTAAAGTTTCATTTTTAACAAAGTAGTATATGCTGTTCCCCAAAAACAAGCCCCAAGATGTTATTCAAGAAAAACGGGCAAGACATTTTTTTTTAAAAAGAAAGAGTGCTTTTATTTAAGCTGGCACCAGCAACACAGTGCAGATGGAGTTTACAAAGCTGTGCAACTGGGTTAGAATTTGACATACTTTTATAGCAATTAAATCACAAAGCAAAGAGTGATGTGATAGGAGGAAGAATGGGGAAGGCCTTTGCTCCCCTTTGCTTGAGGTCAGAGACGTTTCGCAGTTGGTGGGTGGTTAGCCCCTTTTTTCCTTAATTTACAGCCTTTGGTCTGCTAATTCCAGGAACATTTGTTTCTCACACAGGAACAAAGATTGACACGGCATGATTTGTCTCTCACAAAGAGAACAAAGGTTGACACAGCAAATAGGTTACTAAAGTGATGACACATACGGAACAGTATGGCGACGCTTCAGTTAATTTTTAACTGTGTGGTCAGTGCTCCAGTTACATGGTTACTAGGGTGATAAGCATAGCACAGAATGAGCTCTTTTTGCTAATAACAATCTTTTAAACTTTGCATCTTAGCTTTTATTAGCACAATATATGCACGTAAATAAAATATCCAAATGACACTGTAAGGCTTGTAGCAGAGTCAGTGATCTCTTATTCACATTTCTCCATTCTCCAGAGAATGTCTTTTTGATATTTATAATCACACGCTTATATTAGCTCTTATTTTTTTCAAACCTTGACATAACTAGAGATTTCCTATTATTAGAACTGATGCGATTTTCCCTTTAGCTATTACATCCACACACACATATTTTACTTTTTCCATCCTTCCAATATAGTTACATAGATTAAAAAAACCAGTGTTCGGCTATTTAAATTTTTTTTTTGATACCTGGGATCTAACTCATGTCCTCACACTTGTCAGGCAGATGCTTCTGCTGCTGAGCTAAAGCCCTGGCATTATTCCATTATCTTAACCTTATAAATACTAAGAATTGAAGCACATAAAGTAGAGTGATTAATTTTTTTCTACCATTTTTCCCATTTTTAATAATTGTTACCTGTTTGTGCTGTTTCTTTTGCATCTATTACTAATTTATCCCTCATCTTGCACATAGAATCACAAAGCTCCTCTTGAAATATCAGTTTTAAAAAGGTGTCTTTCTGTTTTTTAGCAACTATGACAGAAACATTTCCTTAAATACTCAGTTCTTGAGAACATTCTGTAATTATGTTTTTCAGTATTAGTCTTCCCCATTGATTCTGTGCTCGGTATATTACTTTCACTGGTAGTGTAAAGTATAGAAAATTTGATACAAGAAGTATTTTGAATAGTGCTTATCCATTTTTATTTCATTCCTGGAGCTTAATTTTCCCTGAAATATTCTACCAGTCAGTATCCTACTAAACATCAGATGATTGCATGCATTAACAAGTCTAATCAAGATTGTTTTAGGCCTAGTTCAGATTGTCAAACTGCTCAGGTTGTCAAAAACCATGTTAAATATACTGCACTAATGTTATGTATTTTGAAAGTAATTGAGTTACAAAGTGGTTTTTATAAGACACTATGTAATCATTCAGTGCTATTACTCCTGGAGTCTTCAGTTTTGCTCACACTTGCTACACTGCTATATCCTAAGACATCTTTAACCACCTTGGAAATTACCTCTGCCTATCTTATCTTTTTCTGTCACCCACATTTTGTGTGTTTGGTTTTCTTCATAACTGTAGTAAGCATATCTTTCAGGAGAGCCTTAAGAAAAAAGTTTTACATGCATTAACATGGAAGCAAATTTCATGGTTTTCTCCATAACTGTAGTAGGAATATTTTCCATGAGAACCTTAAGAAAAACGTTTTACATACATTAAAATGGAAGCAAATTTCATGAGACTTCACAAGTCTGAAAATACAAACCATTCATATTTAATTCAAAGTTTGATCACAGTGTGTAGTATTATGAGTTAAAAGTCATTATTAAGAAATTTGAAGTTAATTTTCTCTTAAACTCTGATGTCATTATTAAGAAATAGTAAGACATCTGGATTCCCACCTTTATACTTTTTTACTTTTCTGAGGGCTACTTAGTGCTTATTTCATTTCAATTATTTCATGATAAATGCTTTGGAATCTGTTTTACTTGTTGTATGAAATACTTAATTGTTTACTTCTATCTGAAGAACGGAAATTTATCCAATTGTATTAACGCTCCCATTGCTGGGGCACAGTATCAGGCATCTACAATTTAGAAAAAGATGGTTAATTTGGCTCCTGGTTCAGAGGAATTGGTCCATGGTTAACTAACTGCAAGGAAGGAATACCATGACAGAAGCACATAATGGAGCGAAGCTGTTCAGTTCATGGCAGCCAAGAGTGGATCAGGAGAGGAAGAGTCCAGTGACCTCCCATAGTCCCAAGGTTACATCTCCATGGCCTTCCCAGAGATCCCCAAGAGTGTATTATTAGTCTTCTAGACATTTCTTAATTCCATGCAATTGACTAATTAAGATTAATAGTCATGCAAATTCAGTATTTTAAATATTATTTCTTCTTTCTCTGTTTTCTCTACATATTAAAAAAATATACTCCTTCCAGAAGTAGTAAAAAGTTAAAAAATAATGGTTTAGATGCAGAGGAACAAAGGAAATAACAAGCATAGAATGCCTCCGATACTTTTAAAATTGAAATTCAGGTAGAGAGTAATGACTGTTCGATCTATTTCCCATCTTTGGAGCCCTTACTTGAATATGCTATATCTTCTGGATTGATCCTTTATTTTACTTGAGTTTTCCATACATTTATTATCTTTTCTAGAAAAGTTTTTGACATTACATTTCAACCTCTTCATTGTGTTTAAAATATTCTGTTACTGTCAATCTCTAAGATCTCGTTCTTGTTTTCTGAATATCTCTTTTTAAAAATGCTATTATCAGGGCTGGGGATTTAGCTCAGTGGCATAAGCACCTGCCTTGCAAGCAGGCAGTCGTGAGTTCGATCCCCGGTACCGATAAAAAAAACAAAACAAAACAAAACAAAGAAAATGCTATTATCAATAGATGCATAACACCTTTTAGCTCTCTGAAGACATTAAAGTTTACAAAATGCTTTTGTCTTCCTCCTTCCATTGTCTTTTCAACCCCCAATTTCCTTCATTTCTCTAATTTTCTCAAGATTCTGATGCATGTTGGAGGCATTCCTTCAATCTTGGATGACCCTTGAATACTCATTCATACTTAGACTTCCACACACAAGAAAAAATAAACTTGATAGAAAGTTGAATAACTGAACATATTCGGCTGATTGTTAAGCTTTCCTGAAAGGTGATATGATCAGTACAAGTTGATAGGTGACAATCTCAGCTGCTAATATCTGTGTATTTTTTTCTCTAGAGTTTATTTTCTGTAGAGAAAACTTTTAGCTTTATGATTATAAATTATAATTCTGGCATTTAGTGGTTTGGAACAAGCAAGGTTGAAGAGTTGAAAGTTTCAGGGTTTAACGTCCAGACTTTCACTTGGTCCTTTTGCCTTTGATAGATTCCTAATACTTCCTGACCCCCCTGTCACCACTCTGGCTAATGTTACAGATCCATATTTCTCCTATGCAACTCCCTGAAGGAACAGTTTTGTCAGATAGGAAAAAGACAACTTCTGACTTCAGAGCCTCAGAGAAGAGTTTCGAGTATAAGCGCCCCTCACACTGATACACAACTTAGATTTTTGTCCAGTTCTTGGGCTTCTGTGGTTCCCTGCGGTTTATCAGATTCTCGCTAGTCCTCTTCCTTTGCTAGTGGCCCTTGACCTACACAGTCATTTATCAGACTTGTTCGTCTGCTTTCAACTTTAAAAATACTGAAAGTATTCTACATTTCCTATCACCCTTTTCCATTTTTTCCCTCTAGGTCTATATCATTTTTTGCTACCTTTTTCCTGGAATTTGGGGAAGGGCTACATATGTTTAATGTTCTATATTTAATTATTAAAAACCTTAATGTTTTTATACCTCAAAGTCTACAAAAATTTGTGTAATTATGCTATAATTCCTATTATTATATCTAATCAAAGTCAGACTAAAATTATTTTAAATATTCATTTATAGTAGCACAGATCTCAGGAATATTGAATTTTCACTGGGAATTACAAAATGATATTAAATATTACTTTAAATGATATATTTTTATGAGTCATAGGAGCAGTAACATTAGATAAATATTTCTTTGGTCTTTGAAAATATGTTTCACGTATATATGTCTATGTATATGTATATAGATGATGAATATGAATTAATTCTAAGAAAATAAATGTAGAAAAAGCTTACCTTTAAATAAGGTCCAACTTATCCTTTAAAATGAAAATATAGTACCTTTGTCTGCAAGTTTTATTTCCTAACAAGTTTGGGAGTACTGATTATTTTAACCTACTATTATAAGTAATGTTTTCTCTGTACCTAAGTTAATGAAGCAAAGTTTGGTAATCTCATTGCAAATTCTAAAAATAGAGTGTGATAAATTTGGTGTCAGAATTCGTAGGCAAGGGGCCAACTCGCGAAGCTAATGGTGATCAGTGCCCAAAGCTGACACTGTGACACAGAGTTTTCATTTAATGGAGCTCTTACCTGCTAATTACTACCTTTCCTTGAATTAAAATTATTAAGCTTTCAGTGAAAAAACTGTGGCAATGCTTCTCTTTGTTTACTTTTAGTTATTTGCTTAATTTCTTGGATGACCTGATGTGGACTACAAATTGCAAAACTATGGAAAACTTCTATTATGAATTTTAAAAAAATGAAACAATCTTCTGCATAAAATTTTATTGTGAAGGAGTATCTTAAGAAAAACATGAATTATTTGTAAGAAATTCATTGTAGTAACATTAGTTCTTGTGAGTTTTTTTGTGCCATCTTGACTTTTATGAGTTCTATGAATTGATTGCAATTTCATGCTTTGAAATCATCTTTTGAATTCTATGCACAGTGATCAGGTAGATGTTGTAAAGTTAACTACAGCTTGAACACCATGTCTGTTACATATGAGGTATATGCCTTTGGGAGAATTAGTTACTCTAATATCTGTGTATTTATCTGTGAAGTGGAGATAATGTAATGTCACCTACCTGCTAAGTAATTAAGTCTGCATGTATCAAGTAAAGCTCAGAATCCAGGGCTTGGTAGGATGTACATGGTCACTATTGGTCCTCCATCCACAAAGAAACATGAAATACAGACAAAGTTCCCAGCAATATTAATTTTAAAAGCAAAAGATTTAATTGGCCTGAATCATAAATCCACATAATCCAAGGTGTAATGAATTCTAGCTAGACTTCAGCTTTCCACTGGGCAGTGAATAATATTTTTGTAAAGTTATTACCATTTAAATCAATAATTCTCACTAGTAGAGTGAATGTGTATGTGTCAAAAACAACCAGAGAGAAATTTCAACCTTTATCCTTTACATTCTCAGCTTAAGAGATTCTGACATTCATTATCCTCAGTCAAAAATTCATTATTTCTGGCTTGTGAAGTAGAATTCTGAAGCCCAATCTTTTAAGACTTTCTGAAATCACATGTAAGTATCATACTTTCCTTCAATTATGTTTGGATGAATGGCAAAAACCTTTTCCATGATTTATGACACTAGTTAGCTTTATAAATAGGTACTTGAATATTTTCTGCATATATATCTCAGTGCCACAAAACTGCAAAATACGGACAGACATGTCAGTGCAGAAAAAATAAGTGTTTCTTTTAAATTCAATGTGAAAGTTAATGAAAAAATGCCTTTTCCCAATGTAAAGGTAGTGCCAAAATGTTAAAATAAAAGGGGTGATCAAAATCTATAGTGAATGTTGAAATGAAAGCAATGTTCCAATAAAAGGCACGTTCAGTTAATCCTCCTAATACTCCCCCTTCACTTATCATTCTAGTGACTTTTTGAAATAATTCTAGAAATTCTCTTTCATGAACGTCTTTAAGAGATGCAATCAAATATACTTGAATCCCACTGCTGAGTGTCATCCATGAAAAGGCAAACTCATAAAAACATCACATTGTGGCCTCTGCAAAACTGATTCCAGCACTGCAAAACTTTTAGCTGTTCCACAAAGTCATGATGACCAGAAACTAAAGCACTGAAGAGAAGTTCCAGAAGTGTTTCAAAAAGTCTCAGCAACAAGTGATATGTGTTTGAAGTGTGTGTGAATCAATGACAGTGTCTTTCACTGTAATATACATTTTTTAAAATTTAAGCAGTCACCAAATTATTTGACAATACCTCATTAATTTAGTCCTTTAATCAATGGGTAAATCAAAATTTCAGGGTTAAAACTGATTTTGTTAATGCTCCTACTATGGAAAACATTTAATGAGTCATGATGATGTCTAAAATATTTCATTTAAGAACATTTTCTTCAGTTCTTCTAATCCTTCTAACCATGTGAAAGTCCCTCTTAGGAAAAGTTCAGTATAATAATTTGTTTGATACTTAAATTATACCATTACACCATTAAGTTATAATCTCTGATCTATGTTAGAAAGTACATATTCAAACTAAGGCTAAGCGCTCTCAGCCTGTATTTTTTAAGCTGTGGGTCCTAGTCCTACCTTATTAAACTATGAAGAGTATTTGTCATCTTTACTCCATTGAGGTATTTTAAATATTGGAGACAAATTTATCCCTTGTTTTCTAGATTAATATTTTTATTTTCAATAAAAATGATATTTTGACTCCCCCTTTAACTTTGGTATCTGTCTTCTTAATTTAAGTTACTCTTTCTATTTTTCTTTTGTAGATGTTACCAGAAACTGACCATAACACTGTTCTGTCCAGGAATCATCTATCACCTCCTCAGTGCTGGACTTAGCTTTACCTCCTAAGTGGTTATCATGTCTACTTTTTTGGGCTCTGTGACACACATTATCAGGGTCATGTCCTTTCTCTCATGCTCCAATAAAACTTATTAGCAAAAGATATGGAGATATTGATTTATGATACCAGTATTTCCAACTTATGTATAGCTACTTATCTTTTGTGCAAACTTCAGGGTCCAAGGAATGCCACAATTTAGATTTAAAAAGTGGTTTATATTTGCTTTGCAGAATGTAGGCAGAGACAGAAGATCCCACACTTACTCCTGCCATGAATGACATCTTCATTCAGCTCTTAGCAATTTAAGAGCTGTTTGAAGTGCAACTAGAAAACTTTAAAAATGATAGACAAAGCCATGAAAAATAAAAAATCATCACTCTGTTTGCTTATACTCTGTAAGAAAACTGAAATGTTATTCTAATCAAATTGGGCAAATTAATTTTTTTAAAAATGTGATGTACATAAGTAAATATACCTAAATGAATTCTTAATTTTCAGGAATTAAAAGATTGTTGTAACAAGTATGTGCATGTAAGTAATGGATTATGTTGGCATAGGACCGTGTGAAAAACAATACAGTCTATGTCAAAATGTTTGCAAAATTTAAGTAATTTTTGTCATATTTCTCTTTGATAATTCACTCTGTTATTATAAAATAAAGAACCAACCAAATATGATCTTCTTTTTAGAAACAGTTAAATAACTGCAAAGAAAATGCTCTCTAAAAGCCTTATGTTTTCTTTTATAAAGTTATAAAAGAATATGGACAGAATTTCACATTTCAACTTGGTCTTTGACCTTCCCCACCATCCCCATTTTAAAGAAAATAGAATTTCTAAAAACAGAATTTAACTCTGGATTTGTTTTCCCTCTATCTGCCCAAAATATCTATAATGGTTGAATGAAATGCATTTAATCATAGGTGATACATTTTCCTCTTAATAAATTTATTTTCCTTGGAGGAGCTCTGCTTTTATAGTCTTCTTTTCAAAATGACATAGTCAGCTCAAAATAAGGCCCTTTGAATGTATTTTTTCTTATCTGCATAATGCTGAATTTCTTATGTGATTCCTTAGTTCATTTTGGCTCTGTACAAGAGAATGTCTTTCATGGTTACTTCCTGACAATGATATAATATTTGCTAAGCGGTCTTTCTATAATGCTAAAATTGTTAAAAATATCCTATATGTAAATCAAAATCCAAACTAATAGAAATAGTTCTCAAAATCATCCAAAGCTCATTGTTTTACCTTATGTTTTCCTAATTCTTTTTCTGTTTTTGCCAGTGTGCATGTCACTCTTAGAGTCTTCTTCTATTTATTAGGTGTCTATTCATTTAAATTGATCATTTTTATTGGAGGGATTCTAATTTTTTAAGTTTTTATGTATTATAGATGCTGTCCTCTGAAGGGTGTATTACTGTTTCTGGCCCCTCCCTCTGTATCTCTTACACCCCACTGCCATGGGTTGACTAGTTTTCCTTTGCTAGCCCTTTCCACCATGACAATTCTCACTTGGAGCCAGTCAAACCTGGATGGAATCTTCTGAAGACTGTGAGTCAGGATAAACCTGTGCTCCTCTAAATCGTGGTATGGGGTATTTGGCCGGTGGTGATAAAGTGACTAAGAGAAACTTTGCCTGTTAGGTAGAGAAGGGATTTGAGAGAAACTGGAATGCAGGCAAGGACAACATTTAGTTCACCTCACTACTAACCTATTGTGAGTTTGGGGGCTATTTTTAATATTAAAATTATTAGACCATTTCTTTATGTCAAATAATAGCCTAATTCTCGAGAACAGAAAGTTAAACACAAACAACTCTTGTGTTTGTTAGAATACACCAAGGGAAAAACAGTTACTGCAAAGATCATAAACTGGTAAACCACAATTATTAGGCAAGATTTGGCCTTTGACTTTATTATGAATTTAATTATGTCTTTGAAAAATAATATGTTGAAGTTTTAATCTCCAGTACTTTTGAAGTTTTTTGTCTGTTTTTTTTATTTTAAAGAGATTAAACACAACAGAAAAAGCAGATCAGAACAAAACAATGCAAGCAACATAGAATTTCAAAACAAGACAACAACAAATCCACGGTGATGGTTACCATAATGTCTCTTTGTTTTCTTCAAGAGCATATCTTCCCACACAGAGACAAGGCAAAATAGTATATAACTATTCCAAACAAAAGAATGAAAGCATTACAGGTCTTCAAAATCAGACAATAGGAAAATCAACATTAGCTATGGTAATGTCTCTTGTTTGCTTCAAAATAACTGTCCATACGTTCACACATATTAAAAGTAAGTAATAAAAACAGACTAAAACCAATCAAAATGAATAAAAACATTACTGGAATTCACAAGAAAGTGATAGGAAATCAGCAATGGCTACCATAATGTGGTGTTTTCTTCAAAGCAGCTGTTGACATCATCACACATAATAAAATCAATACTTGTAAATGCTTTAGGACAAGTTGTAGGCTTGTATAATTCTACACATGTACATCTATCTTTTCTGTATTAGAAGGAAAACAAAATAAAATAAATTATGAGAAAGGCAAGAAACAGAACAGACAAATAAAT